CCTTCCAGAATTCTTCATGACACCTTGCACACAATTTTCTAACAGGCAATTTTCACAATGTTGTGATCATCAGTACTTACTCTTCTCCCTGAGCTGAAAGTGAATGAATTGAGGGTATTTATCCTATAATTTACTCACTCTCATGTCTCTGATATGAAGCATATGATTTGGACCATAAAAGCATTTAACAAATTAAATTTAACAACTTATAAATGCCTCAGATTCAGATCCTGCATCCTTTGAAGTACCAAATAAGATGGTGTAAAGGAAAGAGATTTTGTAGGCTAGAAACAAGTTGGAATGATAAGTATTTTCATTTGAATAATGATTTGCAAAGTGAGATTGAAAGATTAGTGAATTTTTGAAAATGACAGTTTACCCCAATCCATATTTATCACTACTAGCTTCACAGGTTTAATATTAGTCACTGAAAAATAAGACAAATTAGGTCTTTCTCACACCAATGTTTTAGGGTTTTAAAAAGAATTTTGTATAGGAACTATGTCAAAATTATTAGAACTCCCCTTGTCATGTGATCCAAGTTCAACCACATCGCTGTATTTGCCCTAGATCTAAAGTCCACATATGAGGGAGAACATACAATTTTTGGTCTTCTGAGCCTGGCTAACCTCGCTCAGAATGATGTTCTCTAGTCCCATCCATTTACTTGCAAGTGATAAGATTTCATTCTTCTTCATGGCTGCGTAAAATTCCATTGTGTACAAGTACCACATTTTCTTGATCCATTCATCAGTAGTGGGGCGTCTTGGCTGTTTCCATAAATTGGGTATTGTGAATAGTGCACATACGGGAGATATGGGAATAGGTAGAAAACCCAAAACATGAAAGCGTTTGATGTCCACACTCCAGAGGAACTAATACAGAAACCTTAAAGCGACAGAGGTCAACATGAGAAAGGGATCAGGAACCAGTGTAAAGATCAGTTAGAGATGAATCAACTTGGGTTGTAATATATTTGTGCATGGAAGCAATGCTAGGAATGTCTCTGTATAGCTATCCTTAACTCAACTAGCAAAAACACTTTGTCTTCCTTATTATGCTTATGTCTTCTCTTCAACAAAATTAGAGATAAGGCAGAACAGGTTCTGCCTGGAAGCAAGGTGGGAGGAGGAAACAGGATGGGGGAGGGGGGCAGGGGGGAGAAATGACCTAAACAATATACGCACATGTGAATAAATGAATAAAAAAAATTAGAACTATAAAACCAGGATTGACACAGAATAAAATCATGGTAAATGTGCATCTACTTGAAAACGTTCAAGAAATAAGTAATATATAGAAAAGTGTACACATTATTCACACAGGTGGAAGAGCTTTTTTTTTGTGGTACTGGGGTTTGAACTCAGGGCCTCACGCTTGCTAAGCAGGTGTTCACTTCTTGAGCCACTCCAGTCTTCAGGTGGAAGATTTTGCTCAATATTTATTTAGCTATATTTTATCCCAAATGACTGCCTGTCCAACGTGTTTTAAAATGGAGATGTTATTGCTGTTTCAGAAATTCCCAAGCAAAAAGCCCAGTCTAAAAGTAGGCAGCAAGGGACAGAGTTTGCAAAGCAGATGTTCTACCATTTGCTAAATTTCCAATAATAAATCTCACCTTTTGAGTTGAGAAAAAAATAACATTGTGCTTGTCTATTAGTAACTGCAAATTATGCAAATGGACAAATGATCTCTAACTTTAGGGAGGCTTTAATGCCATAATTGAAAAGTATGCAACTTCATTTTAGAATACTCATTAGCATCTTTACGAATTTATTTCTCCATTCTTTGGTCCACTAGGACTATTCTTTCCCTCATACTTAACTAAATTTGAAAGGTCCTCTTTGGTGGAAAAATTTAAACAATATATATTTAACAGATGGTGTCTCCATAGTCTACCTTAGTAAACCTTCCAACATAACTTTTTCTAAACTGTAGTTTATGAAGCACTCTTCTTTATAAGATTTTTTCTTTGTATTTTATGCTATGTTAGTTTTAAAATGGCACAGTTTCATGTCTTTAAAAGGGATCTTTCTGATAAAAGTGCTTTAAATTTAGTTGAGCTTTTATAAAAATATTTGTGTTCATTTTTCAGGATGGTTCTGGTGAAAAAAATTGGGTTAGTGAAAAATCAAGGATATAATAATTGGTGAAATTGAATATTTGACTCTTCATATTTTGTCCATTTATCATTATACCACCATATATTTTTAATATTCTTTACCAAGTCAAGTAGCCAAATTTACCTTTGGTTTTTTGGTCATGTTGCATGAATAACAGTTTTCAAGTTCATTGTCAAGCAGAATATATTTTGAATTGTTTTTCAAAATGACAGTGAATGATAATACATTATACTTATTCTCTTGTGAGTTATTCCTGGCTTATGGAAAATAGCATCCTACATGAAGCTACAACCAGGGTTGCCATCAGAATGCTGCAGACCCTTAGCAGAACTCACTGAATAGACTATTGGACAGTTTTATTCCGCACTCTTAATCTATGCACTGTATGATCTATGAGAAACTGTCTAAACTAGTTATCTTAACTTTAGAATGTGATTCACTCAGTTAAATAATGAAATATGAGGCATTTATAAGGTTTTGTGGGGGGGGACTTGATCAATACAGACATAGTAGAGTCATTTTATTAAATAATTGTAATAAGTAGAACAATAGACAGAAAATTGAAAAGAAATTAGGAATGATCTAACCAAACATTTCATGAAGTTCCTGCTGACATTCCTTACAGAGACAACCAGCCTCTGGCTAACTTTACTGACATAATTTCATTCTCCCTAGTCCCAGAAAGTTTTCCTTGTCAGAAAGTCTAATTTTAGTGTAATATTCTTGAAACAAAGAAACAATCTTAACCAACCCAAAACTAAGGATCTTGGTGGACTCCTATTTTAACAGGGAATATTTTTCTGTACAATATTTTTTCTTAATTTCTTTGTTTCCCTTACAATTAGTACAATAGAATGGGAATAATAGATTGAAAGAGTCCAGGACTTAATATTGACTTTCTTCAGCTGAGAAGTGGATCCAGATGTGGGGTATAGTCTAATTCAGCAAGTAGGTCATAGGATCTGAAGAGAATAAACAAAAATGGTAAGTGGAAGTTTGGACAGAAAGTCAGAAACAAGGATGCCCATAATGTTCTTCCAGATATCTCAGCCATATGCTTTGTTCAAAGATGTGGACACTCAGGTCAGCACCATAGATTTATCACGGTGATATTTATGATGATACTGGTGAATTTTATGTTACAGTGTTGAAAACTCAGACTATGTTTATAAACGTAGATTTTCTGAAGGTATGATCTCTGTCCTTTGAAATGATTAAGAGTCCTCAAATCTTCCTCGGTTAGTGGGGCTCTATCCATTAGTTATCCTTGACTTCATTTTCTCTTAGAAATCAGATAAGTTGACATACTGTGAATTGAGATGGGGCCAATTAGTTCTATTAGTAAAGAGAGTTTCCCTATAACCCAAGTGACAAGTGTTGCTCACCACAGATGCTGTTGTCTTAAAAAAATTGAAAAACATTTTGTTAAGTAAGAAACTGAACACAGTGTTAAAATGACAAGTACTTTATTTTGAAAAGAAAGGTCAGGATGGTGAGGTACTGGAAAGGAGAGGGAGTGAAGATACCTGGTGCCTGCCCTGCCTCTGTCTCCAACTTTTTGTGTTACTTTGGTCATACACACTTTTAGAATCCAATCCACGAATACAGAGGGAGCTTAAAAGAGGCATCTGCTGTAACACTTTGGTCAATTTAGCTTTCTTTGAAACTATACAGTTTCTTTAATGAAGAGACTCGTGCCTACAGCATCACAGCAACAGCATTTTAAAAGCAGTACAAATAATTTTCCCTCAGGGAGCAATAATGGAGGTAATCAAAGCTGTGAAGAGACCAGAAGCCTTCTTGCTTTCACATCTTTTTTTTTTTTTGTATTTGTGATTGGACTTTAAAAGATCAACAAAGAGAATGTGAACAATAAGATTTAACAGGGAAGTTGAAGGGATAAATAAGTTGTCCACTTATTTGAGACGAATGCTAAAGTTAGGAAGGAGAAAAGAGACAGGGACTTCTGCTGTTCATCCACTTTTAGATTAAGATAGATTTTGTCTTTTGTTGACTATGCTTGCTGTTTGGAAACCCACACACACATTGTTTGGACACATACATAGAGAAATTAAGTCAAAAGTGGATGTTGTGGGAAGTGATATGTTTTTAGATTGGCAGGTCCCAATTATCATAAGGGTTTTGGGTTGGAGGAGCTTTGGAAAGGGTGGTAGGCAAGGTATATATGCAAATTAGATTTCTCTGTGATTATTGATAATTTCTGGCATTGTAAGTTGAATGACTGGCCCTTGTAAAGATTGACTTGGTGAATGAAAATTTATCTTACCTCACAACTTTAAGCCAAAATGCAAGTAATGAAAATGTGGAAATATAAAAGCTTATCTTTGCATCATTTAGTTAATATTGATGCCTCTTATGTGCAATGGCATTTCACTAAGACATTATTCACCTCTGAGTACATAGAATTTAGACATAGAAACATTAAAAAGAATTCTTCCCAAATGTAAAGATTCTTCTCAGTTAAGTAGTTATATAACACTGTCCTGAAAAACATCACTTACATGAATGATTTTAAGAAAAACAATTGAGATTCATAGGCATTTGGGGAAATACACTGGTTGATAACTATGACAATATCCATATTTTAAAGTTGCTGGTTTGAAAGACTTACCTTTTGATAGATTATCATGAAAAATTAAACATTCCATTTTACTTTTGAATAGAAATATAGAATGAGAAGAACATAATTAATTAATGTAAAAGTAAGAAAAACTAAAAGTAAAATTTATTTAAACTAATTAGTATTGATCAAGTCAAGGACTATAGATGTGAACTTTTGAACAGTAAATTATAGCATTTTTAAAGGTGGGAATAAAAGCAGGAAATAAAACTGGAGCCAATTAGACATAATCTTACCTGAACTTGATTTTTGTTCTCTCTTCTTCTCCACTCTTCCTGAAATGAAAAGTGGCAGATAAGTTGCATATAGGCCTTGAGAATATGATGTAACTAAGATGGAAGCCCAATTTATGGCAATTTCCAAACACAACAGTTATTTTAGTAATGTCTAGCATGATTTTAGAGATGATTATGTACAGTTGACAAGGAGAAAAATGCTTTCAAATACATTTATAAACATAAAAATTAGTAAGTATCTACTAATTATGCTGTTGAGTTTTATAAAATCTTATTAGCAAGAGTCATTTAATAAACAATAGACACACAAATTGAAAATCCCCATACACAGCCCTATGGGGAAGGCAGCTAAATAAAATAAGACCATGATCTCTCACAACCTACTTGACAATATATCATGAAATGAAACATTTACCAAAATATGCCAAATGTTTAATGATATGAGAGGATGAAGCAATTATTTTGAGAAAGGAGGGAGGGCCTATGAAATTATGGAGAAAGTAATATTTGATTTGGAATTTGAGATCTACATGGGATTTAAGACATTTTTTAAGGGAGAAAACATTGACTCTTAGAAAAGGAATAGTATAGGTTCAGCAGAAAAGGGAAAAAGAGGAAGAAGACAAGTGTAGAGGGTGCCTTAGGAACCTGAACACTAGTAACTGTGTGTAAGAAGAGGACTGTCTTAGAATTTAGGCAATAGGCAATGCAAGTGTGGTCTGTGAGAATTGAGCAGTGAGAATTGAGAGGAGGGAAGTAGTGGATACCAGAGTCAGTGAAGAGACACAAGTAACAGAGCCTAAGGATTTACAAAATGTGAATGGTAAGGGAGAAGGAGAGGTCAAGGTTACTGAGGTGACTTTGGGCATAACAACATTCTTTGGGGCAATGATAAAAGGATGGAGTTGGGACAGAAAAATTCTGTTTAGATTTACTGAGTTGGAAGTGTTATGGGGCCATGAAGCTTAGGAGAGATCAGAGTTGAATTTATAGATTCAGGAAATATCCATCTTGAGCAGATGGCTGAATTGAGGGTTTGAATGGGACATAAAGGCAGATGGCGCAGAGGAGTAGGCTGAGGCCAATAACAAAGAAATAAAATTGCCCCTTCTGTTTTGTGATGTAGAACAATGAGAAGCCAGAAGAGACAAAGATTCAGGGAAATCAACAGAGTGCTGAATTGGGTACCACAAGTAAAATTTGAGGAAATTGGGGAGTTCCAATAGCATCCTGTGCCCCCTGAGTTCATATAGCAGTTGCTAGGTTATGAGAAAATAGTTTTAGTAGATAAGGGGCAGGGAACACAGAGGGATTGTGAAGGCCCCAAGAGGAAGTGGGTGATGAGGAAGATGAATCTGAGGATATGGATTCTAATTCACGAAATTTGACCACATCCAAATGGGTAAGATGAGTCAATAGTGCAGGCAGAAGCAAATCAAGGTTCTCTTAATCTACAGGACACTTAAAGGGTTAGATAAGGAAATCTGCACCAGGGAAATGGTGTGTAGAACACCGCTGTGGAAGTGACTGCCTTGGCTTGGCAAGGGCCATCTTTCCAGCTGTCACATTCTTGTCATCTACCAACACCTCACAGCTGGAGCTAGTCACTGAGAAGTGATATAACACATAGAAGCCATAGGTAAACTTTATCCAGGTTTCTCTACAAGTCCTTTATGTCTTTTAAAAATCTTAAAATATAAGGTGGAAAATGTGTTTTCCCTCATGCAGCTGCTGAAAGTGTAGAATTCATTTAAGTGGTGCCTTGATTAATTCTATTCATCTGGGTTCTTTCCAGAGGATTTGTTTGTTGCAATTTTTTTCAATGATTCACACAGATAAATGGCATAAATAGTCCATTTAAAGGGCCCATTCATTACTAAGTGTGATGGGGCACATCCTCATGTACGTTTTCTATTGGGCAAGCACTATTTACTGTGCAATTATACACTTATGAATACTAAAGGCCACAAACATTTTCATGAACTTTAAAAAGTGATATGTAATGCTCAACTTAACAAAATGTTTACAGAAAAACATCTTTTTGGAGAGTCTTTAACTTGTATTAGAATGAAGCTTAGTAAGCTCTAAAATTAAAAGTAAGTGTATTTGAGATAAATAAGATGGTGTGGTAATCACAGCGTCCCCACTAATCCCTACTTTTCCTTCACCAGAAACTCATGTCCTTGTGGAATAACTTTTTTCCATGAAATAGATGAGTTTTTATAACCAATAGGATGTGTAGCAATGATGGACTCTTCCTTCAGGTTGAGCCTTAAAAATTTAGTTTTCACTTGTTTTTTTCTCTGATCACTCCTCTGGGTGAAGCCAGGAAATATGTTGAAGGACAAGGAAGCATCCCTATAGGGAGGTCCCTGTAGCACGGAACTGGAGCCTCTGCTAATAGCTAATGAAGAACAAAAGACTCATGCCAACAGCCAGCATCAACCTGCCAGGTATAGGAACAACATGTTCACCAGCCCCAGTCCACCTGGCAGATGACTATGGCTCTGGGTGACTAATCCCTACTTTTCCTTCACCAGAAACTCATGTCCTTGTGGAATAACTTTTTTCCATGAAATAGATGAGTTTTTATAACCAATAGGATTGTGTAGCAATGATGGACTCTTCCTTCAGGTTGAGCCTTAAAAATTTAGTTTTCACTTGTTTTTTTCTCTGATCACTCCCTCTGGGTGAAGCCAGGAAATATGTTGAAGGACAAGGAAGCATCCCTATAGGGAGGTCCCTGTAGCACGGAACTGGAGCCTCTGCTAATAGCTAATGAAGAACAAAAGACTCATGCCAACAGCCAGCATCAACCTGCCAGGTATAGGAACAACATGTTCACCAGCCCCAGTCCATCCTGCAGATGACTATGGCTCTGGGTGACATCCTGGCTGTAATTTCATGGGAAATTCATATCCAGAGCCATCCATTCAGCCTCAGGAGTTCCCCACAGAAACTGAATGAGAAGGTCAAAGGGCATTGTTTTAAACTGCTAAAACCTGGGAAAATTGTTGTGGATATTATAAGAGCCTGTGTTAATTCATCCAACAATCCTACAATGATGCCACTTGCAGACAAATCATCTAGTCTCCCTGAATTTCTCATCTGTGAACCTGCTTTTCTGAACTTCCTGAGGATTAAAGAATTTGACATGTGAGCCAGAAATGGGCAGAAATAGATAAAAATTAACATGAAATATTGGGGTCCAATGTTTCAGAAGAAGACTGGAAGGCATTGCTGAAGTTTTTTTATTTTTACTTTTTTAATCTGAGTCCCCAACCAATTCTTGTCCATGTATCATCTGACAGGTTTAATAAACTACAATTCTATCTGAATATTATTTAATAGTTCTAGCACGCTGTTAGATCTGTTGGAGGAATAAGTCAGATTTCTATTCTTAGTTATATACAAACTAAACTTCAAATTAGAAAAGTAAAAAATTAGTGCCTAAGACAGTATTATCTAGAGACATAGAGATTGCAGTGGTTATATAGAGACAACCTTGCTAGCATTCTCTTCTTCTTCTTCTTCTTCTTCTTTTTTTTAGTACCTCATCCTCTTCATGTTTACTTTCTTAATAAGAAATCAGTCTTGGACCTATATTTGTAGCTCCAAAATCTATCTAGGTCTTAAGCCTACTGGAAATTTCTATGTATGTCTTCTATTGCACTGCAATACATGCCCTTATCTGAAATAATTCTGTTCCCCTACAAAGGTGATCATCATTGATGTTGTCTGCTTAGGCATCCAAACATGAAACCTAACAACTCCCAGCCCCTCCCTTCTTTTTGCTCAGTTTCTATGCTGTCCCTCTAAGGTCTTTCAAATCTATCTCCTCCTTTCTTACTGCCCTCACCCCAATTCATGAACTCTGATATCTTTTCCTGGGTGGTCTACTTTTTATAGGCTCAAATGGCTTCATTGGTTTTTCCATCCTTGTAGTCCCATCTCTGCTAAAAATTAAAATTCATGTTCTATTCTTTACATGACATTTATGACTCTGAATGATTTGGCCACAACCTACCTTCTGTTCCAGCCCTCAAGCACCATCTAGAACACTTATGCATAATATCTGAAATTACACCTCCCACACAAACTCATCACTTATGCTGTTTCTGCTTTCTAGAATGTCCTGCTATGTCATTCCTGCCTGTCAAAGCTCCATTCATCCTTTAGAGCTTAGTGCAAATGACAGCTGTTCTGTGAAACCTGTTCCTCCAGGCCAGTTTCCCTGCACCCGAAACCCAGTGGAATTAAACACCCTTTTCCTGTGCTCCTTTAGCACTTTATCTATAACATTCCTACACCTAGTGCTTGGTTCACACTTGGCTGCATTGAGTCCTGTGTGTCTCTGTCTCCCAGTGCACAGCACCAAGCACTAAACACAACTGCTTGGGATGAAGTTGGCATAGAAAGCTCACGGCAGAGAACGTGAAGCAAATTTTAGGACTGCTAAAATTTAGTGAACATGCAACAGAACAGAGCTTTTAACAGGTATTTATATTACAACTGACAACCTACAAAACTATTATATTAGAAAAGTGGGTGGTAAAATAGCAGAAAGGCTTTCAGAATAATGAACATGCATTCTGCCTTCATTATGTTTTATTTTATCAGATTCTAGTTTAAAAACAAAAACATTAAAGTATGGTTTGCATCTTACTTCCGTTTAAACCAAGATGCCATGCTCTACCTGCAAGGAATAAAAAACGGTTCACAATCTCACAAATATTAAATTTGCTGGGTGAACTTCTTTTCTTATATAAGGAAATATATTTAATTGAGCACTAAAATTCCAAATCTCATGGCTATTTATATAAATGGAGTCTTGATATTTTTAAAAGCTATTTTAGATTTGATGTTGCTGATATTGTTCCATGGAGAAACATTAAATATATATCAACTTATAGTACACTTCAGTTCAGAAGTAGTTCTTAATCACAGTGATCATTTCCGATATTTTCAAACCACAGGCACATAAATGGCAATTCGAGGATGTCTCACCAATAATGAGTGGGGGCATTTGTGTTATACCT